AGTGCGTGATCTTTCCCATTGATACCATAAAATTTAAGCTTAAATAACAAAATTTCATGATCAACACAATCAAAAGCTTTTTCCAAATCACAGAAGATGCCTCCCACTATTTGTTTGTTATTCATGGCATTTAAAATCTCTGTAGTCAATTTATAGATTGCATTATCTGTTTTTAATCCTTTCCTAAATCCATATTGTTCAGTACTTAAAATATTGTATTTATTGAGATGATCCAAAATTCTTGAGTACATTATAGTTTCAAATATTTTTGAAAAAGATGTTAAAAGTGATATAGGTCTATAATTAGACACATCATATATATCACCATTCTTATATAATGGTTTTATTAATGCATATTTTAATCTATCCGGAAATACTCCTCTCCTTAACATTTTATTGCATATATAATTTATAGGTGAACTTATAAATGACGAGCTTATTTTTAAAATCATAGGTGGTATCTCATCATATCCATGCGAATTTTTTAGTTTAAGGGATTTTATTATTTTTTTTATTTCTTTGTTCGTACAACATTTGGAATTCATATTTGGGTATGGATTAGAAAAAGCTTGGTTCATGAAATGAATATAATTTTCATCATCATTAATATCATTTGCAATTACGGGATTATTAATATCTTGTAGTTTTATTTTCTCTGCAATGTTAACAAAATAATTATTAAATTTTTCAGCAATAGTTTGTTGGTTATTGAACTTCTTACCATCAATTTTTAGTGTTTTTATTTCAACTCTATTTGTATTTCTACCTGCTTCTTTATTTATAATACCCCAAGTAGTTTTAATTTTATTATCAGAATTTAGAATGCATTTATCATACTCCATTCTTTTTGCCTCTTTTATAACTGTGGTCAATATTTTAGAGTAATTTCTGTAATAAGTTTTAAGAGTAGGATCCTTATTATTCCTTAATTTATTACAAAGTTCTCGTTTATGTTTACAGGACATTAATATTCCTGGTGTAATCCAAGAATTATTTTTCTGTTTACATTTTATCTGTGTCAAAGGGAAGCTGGAATAGTAAATTTTTAAGAAAATATTTAAAAATGTGTTAAAACTATTATTAATATCATTTTCATCAAAAACTAATTCCCATGTTTCCTGACTTAGTTTTAATTGAAAATCTGTTATAGTATCGTTATTTATTAACCGTTCCTTTTCCCTGTTCCTGTGCCTTATGAAGTATTAATACTTGGGCATCATGATCTGATAGACCATTTATAGAGGGGTATATCTCATATTTTCCAATACTGTTTATATCAATGAAAAAATTATCAATTACAGTGCATGAGGAGATGCCAACTCTAGTGGGGAATGTTACAATACTAGTAAGATTATATGATTGTAGGACAGCATCAAGTTGCATAAATTGCAGGTGTTTAAAAATAAGATGTTGAGGAGGATATTTGGGCCTAGGACAGAAGACAATGGGGTCTGGAGAAAACTACATATTGACGAACTTAAAAAATTGATACTCCTCCCCAAGTATTGTCAGGGTGATTAAGTCAAGAAGAATGAGATGGATAGGGCAAGAGGTTTGCACCGGGTATTGGTTGGGAAGCCTGAGGGATAGACGTAGATGGAAGGATAATCTCAGACGGTATCTATGGGAGATAGGAGTTGAAGGAGAGTGCATGTTGTTGGCCCAGGACAGCGTCCATTGAAGGACTTTGATTAGTTCGGTGACGAACCTTCGGGGGTTCCGTACATTCTTGCACAGATGATGAATCCCGTTTGTATTCTGTGGATCATGTCTTTAGTGAAAGTAATCAATGTCGGAAGTATTGGTTTGGAAATCGCTAATCGAATATATTGGTTTCTTCGTCCAGATAAATATTCTGTTAGTAATCAAACTGGTGGGAATTTTGTAACGCGTTGTGCTGTAATTTGTGCTGTAAACTTTCAAGTTTACAAACAAATTTTACGTTAGGGGCGTCTTGGAAGAGACGCCAACGCCAACTGGAAGGAGAAAGATGGCGGATATAAAGATTCATCCTGTTGACAATTTGCATACCAAAAACGGGAACTTTATTTGTGGAGTTGTGGAAGGTACTTTGGAAGTCGAGTATCCTATTTTATTATATTAGAATTTAGTATGTGTGCATTCCAGTCGAAATATCTTAAACTTTACGCTTTAATTAAGAAGTCATTCTAGACCACGAAATATTTGCAACATTTAAATCTTTTTGAACAAAAATTGAGACAATATGAAGTATATTAATCATGAGGAATAATTTAAGGTGCTTCGTAAGTCGTAGAGTGGTTGAAGGAAACAGTTATTCCAGTAAGTTACTGATTGCCAAACAAGGGGATGGTGGTGTGCAGGAAACATTGTATGAGAATTGAAGTTCATGAGGGTGAAGATGTCGATGTTGTCCTGGGTAGTGATATCATATGGCCTTGAAAGTGGAGACAGTATATTCTTCGAAAATGTTGGTACCTACGTAGAAGAAAACAGCATTACTGCCTAGAAGCATAGATTGACAGGAAAATATTGATTTGCATTCAGTTGACTAGTATGGATCACTATGGATTAATTACATTGATTACATTAATTAATTGAAGAAGGAAGTATTGTAGCACTGGTTGAATGGACGTATCAAGATCATTTTTTGTTTTATGAGACGTGACTATATTTTGAAAGTAAAATAAAACATTTCATGTGGTATCAGAAATGTGCTAAGATGTTTAAGTTTTAGTGAAAGTTTATAATTCTGTTTGTGTTATATGTGAAATAAAACATAACCAAACGTAACGGAAAAACTGGCAATAAAAGACATTCTGGAGTGTGGAGTGGTGATAGTCTCAAAACAGGTTTTTTTTCAGAGAAAGTTAGTGTTGTACACCTTAAAGTTATTTCAGTTTTAATATCTTCAAAATAGAAACAGGGCAGTCTTCAGAACTGGGACCTGTAAAGGTTGCTGATATCCAGGGAATGAATCATGGGTACTCGGCAAATCAGAACTCTTAATGTATTACTCACTCAGCCTTTTCATGTGGTGTTGTCTCTTTTATAAAAGAACTACAGGGGAAAAACATATAAATACCTGTCAACCACAAAAGAATTACAATTAAGTTAATGGCTGCATTAGTGAATGACTGTCTCTCTGTCAGATGTTTCAAGTATTGCCCAATTTGTGCTTACTAGCTACAGTACAGATTGAAATAAATTAAAGAAAATAAACCTGATTTTATTTTGTTTGAGAAATATAGAACCATGTCTTTATATGAGAAAACATTATTGTTTTGACTTTGCTAATAAAACTGCAAACATCTGCTGCTGTCACAGTATCATGTGATTGAAAGAGGCATAAATTATTTTATTATAAAAATGTAATCATATTAGGGTATATGTGATTATTTTAATAATATAACTTTTCTAGGTTTTTATGGAAGACCGTGGACTACAGAACAGAGAAAAGATTTGTTCCAAAAGTAAGTTACATGTTTTATAAATTGTGACATAATTTAACTTCTTTTAGTGATTGAATTATGTAACTATTTCATTGTAGCACGCCTTGATAGAGAAGTTGTAGTTTTGAATCTCACCTGGGAGTTTTGCCCAGTCTTGTAGACTACAGTAACAAGCATATAATATACCTGTAACAGAACATGAAGGTTTATCATTTTTAATACCACCACTTACATTGGGACACATTGGTGAGACAATTCCATCTACTTCAGTGGAATGCAATTAGTGAATTAATGTATCATTCATTTTTTGAAATAAATTTTTAAAATTATATAATGTGGAGGGACTGTTTACCCAGGGAAGAGGTATTCTGCCTTTCATAGGTTATGTCATATATATAGATGGAATATTATATTTTTGCAACATGTATGAAACTGACACAAGGGCAATAAATTTAACTTTTGAGATTTCACAGCAGATTTTCAGTTTTATACCACACTTATTAGTAATGGCTGACACAATGCAATTAAATAAAGAATCAAATAAAAACCCTCAATGAAAGAGAAACTTTTGAGACCTGGTTATTGATTGGAAGATTAATATTCAAATGGAGCCCAGAGAAATAGGGTTCAACTATTGTGTTACACAGTCCAGCAGTATACTTTTGTACAGTAAGAAAAATCAGGTTCCATGAAAGCAAGACATTTCTTGACCAAATGAGTAGTATCAGCTTTACAAGGATGCTTTTGATATTGCTGAGTCCAATCCTGTAGATGCAATTTGAACAAAATGATTTTTATTTTGTTTACCAGGTTGAAGAAATGGGGAATGGAATCTTACCTTTATGCCCCTAAGGATGACTATAAGCATCGCGCTTATTGGCGAGAGCTGTACACTGTGGAAGAAGCTGAACACCTCACAGGTATTCTAAAAACATTTTATGTGTTGTGCAAACAGTTTTTAAAATACCTTTCTCATGGTTTGTCATAATGGGGTTTGGAAACAGTACTTTTGCAGAAGCTCAAGTTAAATTGTGATAGGTCTATTGGCCCATTGGTTCTCAAGATTTTTTTGATTTATTAAACTACAAAAGAACAGCAATTTTTGTGAGGACTGGTAGTTTATCTGCTTCAGATTATAGAGCATAAAGAATGGCCTACAGATTTTATTATTACTGGCACATGTGCTGATTCTGTAATTGGCTCCTGTGGTTGTTGAGTTAGCACATTAAAATAGAGAATTGAATTAAACAGGTTTGTTTACAATTTAAGGCCTTTTAATTTGACATTAAAAGCATAGCCACTGACACTGAACGTTAGAGTTATGCATGAACAGATAAGAAACACACAAGTTATCACATATTTTTATCTTCAGTGATCAGAGATTTATAACACAACTGTGTTTCCCATTTTGGAGGTACAAAATAAGTGACCCCTGTACTTTTGTGTCTGTTTCTGCACCACTTAGCTAACGTCCAATATGGTATTGCTAGAAGTATGGCTTTATAAAGTGAGACCTTTTATGCTTTATAAGAGACCATCGTCTTATGAATTGTATGATTTAGTATAAATTAATTTGTTTGCCACTGATGATGACCTCTTGAGATCGAAATGTGTTTGGCACTAAGCGCCTTTTCAAAGAGTAAACAGTTTTTATTTGTTTGCATGATTTTATATAACTATATTTAGTTCATTTATTGATGCAGTCAGTAGCTCAAATGGTATAGTTTCGCGCAAATAACTGTGATGATAGCGATATTGAGTCAGTATTAATAGTAGTAGTGGTACTAGAAAGATGTTGTCTGTTTAAAAGGCATGGGATGCAAAATAAAGACAGGTTATTTCTTAGTATGAGTAATGACAAGATTGTGTAAGTAGTGTAAATGCAAGTATATATTCCACAAAACTCAATTTTTTAAATGGTTCAGATTTATGGATTAGTTTTAGTAGGTATTAAATTTTTGTGGAAAGTTGTCTCTCTTAAAAACTGTCAGGGAGCTTCAGGTAGGATTTGCAGCCAGTTAGCTGGTCCTTGGAGGGTTAAAGTGGTTGTTTATAGTGTTTTTAAATTATTTATTCTTCCACTCATGGAATCTGGATGTAGATGAAAGAATAATATGGTAATCAATTTTGATGAAATATCCTCTAGGTTCAGCTTACTCAGGTTAAATGTAAATTCTGCATGAGTGTCATGTGTGTTTTCATTGAAGAAAATGGCTACTTTAAAAGTTTCATATTTTTTTTTGAAGATTTATTACTGTACAAAATTTCAGGATCCTACATTAAGTGGCACTAGTGTTGCTCACACTTCAGAGGTTTTTACTATATTTGTATTGAGAACAATTGAATGGTAGTATGGTTTTTAGTAACTTGATGTTCAAAGTTTTGTGAAAATCTGTCCAATTGTTCTTATGTTAAGGGGTACAGGCATGTTGATGTGACACCATATGCCTGTTTCCTTTTATGAATTAGTGAAAGTACACTCAAAACTCTGAAAAAGATATCAGTATGAAAACCAGTTGTGGCAATTGTACTGGAAGTATAGCTAATATATGAAAAACTGTGTTATGTTTACTTCAGTGAACAATGTGAAACAGAGCTGAGTGTAATGGCCGCATAACTGTCAGTTGCTTGAGGATTGGTGTTACCCATTTTAGAGGTTTTTCTTGAATGTCAAACCACTTCTGAAAATTATTTCTGTAATATTGTAGATTGCTGATACAGATATTGTTTGATTACATTGCAGGACTGATTTCTTCAGCCCGGGATAATGGCATTACATTTTATTATGCTTTGTCCCCTGGTCTGGACATAACGTACTCTAGTACTAAGGAAATGACTGCTTTGAAGCGAAAACTGGAGCAAGTGTCACAGTTTGGCTGCACTGCCTATGCCCTTCTTTTCGATGATATTGAGCCAGAAATGTGTGAGGCTGACAAAGAAGTTTTCCAGTCATTTGCTTATGCTCAGGTAATTTAGCTGCTGCATCATTTATACCAAAGTTGTTAAATGTCTTTTCTTTTAAATGATGCTGTCACATGTGACATATTAACATACTGAGGATATGCAACACACATGTGGTAGGTGTATGGAATTTTAAACTTTTTGCCAGCAGTGGGTATCTTATGTTACATGAGCTGAGAAATATGCATACCAGACTTTTACTACTTCCAATATTTCTCATCTAGATGAACTGAGAGGCTTTCAGTTTTGTCATCAGCTTGAAACTGCAGTCTGTTTAATTAACTGAGAAGTACACTCTACAGATTTGAACATTTTTATACATACTTGTGGAACAACTTTTTGAACTATGCAGAAATTTCCCAAGTTGTATGAACTTCTGACTGTTGAACATATGTGCATATGACACACTATTTACCTTCCTTAACATTTAAATAATTTGTTATGTAAGTGCAAATACATGCATGTAAACCAATCATTGTCAATGACTAATTATGTAGGTGGAGCATGGTATTACATTTTGTGCATGTGGCCTTTGAACCTGCCTGGAAGTCCTGCATTTGAAACTTGAGGTTTTCGTATACGCTGAAATAATAGGCCTATCTTGCATTTGAGCCAGGTCTGTAATGGTTTTGTGAAACTGAAATTGTTATCATTGTAATTGCAGGTGTCTGTGAGTAATGAAGTTTTTCAGCATTTGGGCCAGCCTCATTTTATGTTGTGTCCCACACAGTACTGTGCAGCTCGAGCCACTCCTAATGTCCAGAACTCAGAATACCTCAACACACTAGGGTCTAAACTTGCACCTGAAATAGACATAATGTGGACGGGTAAGTAAACTTTACTTTGTATGTTGGCACATGCAAAGAATCAGATGTAATACAGTACAGTGCAATACATACAGTTGATTGCTGTGCACACACATTCTTCTTCTTTTATGGATCTCCGGTCCGTATTCGGTCCACGGCCTCCTCAATTCTCCTCTTCCATTCGGTCCTCTGTTAGGTCCATCTGTCCGAGGCTTTGATTGAGGTTTTGAAACCTCTTCCTTTTTATGGTGCAAGGTTGTTAGCCTTGCGACCATCCCCGAACCTGGAAGACCAGGGTACCTGTCTTAGTCTGACCTCTCCCCCTCGACCAATCTGGCTAGGGAGGCCCTACCAGTAGCTATGCTACCGCCAGCATAGCTCTTGGGGTCACTGAGGTACTCAAGCCCCACCACGACAAGGGTGCACACACATTTCTGACTTGTTTTCATAATCTTGAAACCAAAAATTTAATTTAAGAATAAATGTGTACGTGCTCAAACTTCAGCACATGCATGCAATGGGGGACCCAGAATATAGAGTGTGTCTGAGCTTTAGGCAGCCTGTTGCAAAAAAGTTAAGTTACGATGTGAAGAAGAACAAGCATGTCAGCCTCCATGTATAGACTGCAGTAAGTTAAATGTGCATCTTCCAAAAAAGTGTACATGCACTATAATGATCAGTCATTCTTGTGTGTGTACTGGGTTGATTATAGGACTGTATAATAAATACATCATGTAAACATTTTTCA